ACCCTTTCATCAAATCACATAAATACTGATCTCCCCATTTTCTCTTTTTAAATTTTTATTTTTTTAATTAAAAAAGTTTTTTATTAGGTTGGCCAAAAAGTTCATTTGGTTTCCCAGTAAGATGGCTTTAGTGGCACTTCTCTTTCATTTCATTCGAGACAAGTGTGTTATATTGTACCGCGATAGCTGTCATAGCAGCGTGCATTAAAAAAAAAACAAAACTTATCACAACTGGTAAATTTTTGTGTAGCTATTTTAATAGGAAGGAAGAAAACTACATTTTTGGCATATTATGCTCTATTATTTCAAGAAAGGTAAAAATGCAACTGAAACACACACAGATTTGTGCAGTGTTGTGGAAGGTGCTGTGACTGATCCAACATGTCAGAGTGGTTTGCAGAGAGCACTGGAGTAGGGCGCCCCTTCTTACTCCAGGAATCTTTCTGGTTCAGGGACTGAATCCATGTCTCCTGCATTGGCAGGTGGATTCTTCACCACTGAGCCACCAGGGACGAAGGTGATGTTGCGTATATGGTGGGAGTGGAAGGCAGTCCTCTCTTATGAGCTCTTTCTGGAAAACCAAGTGATTAATTCCAACAAGTACTGCTCCTGGTCAGACCACTGAATGCTGAACAAAAGTGTCCAGAATCAGCCAACAGAAAACACATAATTTTCCATCAGGAAAACACAGGACCACATGTTTCTCTGATGACCAGGCAAAAACTGTTACAGCTTGGCTGGGAAGTTCTGATTCATCCGCCATAGTCACCAGACATAGCACCTTTGGAATTCCACTTATTTTGGTCTTTACAAAATTCTCTTTAAAAAATTTTTTCAAAAATCTTTCTTTCTTTCTGTATTTGACAGTGCCACATCTTAGGTGCAGCACATGGGATCTTTAGTTGGGGCATGTGCGGTCTAGTTCCCTGACCAGGATCGAATCCAGGCCCCTGCATTGTGAGTGCACAGTCTAAGCCACTAGACAGCCAGGGAAGTCCCTAAAAAATTCTCTTAATGGAAGAAATTTCAGTTCCCTGTGAAAGGACTGTTAAAGGCACATGGAACAGTTCTTTGCTCAAAAAATTAAAAAGGTTTGGGAAGATGGAATTATGAAGTGGCCTGAAAAATGGCAGGAGGTAGTGGAACAAAATGTTGAATACACTGTTCAATAAGGTTGTTGGTGAATATGAAAAATGTGTCTTTTATTTTTATTTAAAAACCAAAGGAACTTTTTGGCCAACCCAACACAAAGACAAGCCCAAGCCCAGATGGCTTTCACTGTAGGATTCTACCAGATATTCCAGGAAGTTGTGTATTCAGTTATAAATAACAACTCTTTCACAAACATTTTCAGAGAATAGGAGGAACCACTTCCTATCTCATTCTGTAATGCCAATACTAACCTAATTATAAAGTCAGACAAAGACAACACAAGAAAAGAAAGCACATAAGTATAGGCCTCATGTTTTATGTAGTTCATCGAGCCCAAGTGGAATTGAATGCAGCTATCCTAGCTTGCGAAATGGAACTGAAAAGCTCTCTGGTTAAAGGCAATCAACCGAATATCAGCGGCTCTCCACTCTACAAGAGGACCCTAACATTGTCTGGAGATGGAGTCAATGTTGTATGATTCTAATGAAATGTGTGATTGTCAAGAGCCTAGTGTGCTGTCCGAGATCTAGCAGTTCCCTTACTTGTGGGCACAGATGCAAGTTTTAATTGTATTATGGCACACACACAAACAGACACGCACACACACAAATGACTAGTTTTTAAATTGCACATTTTTTTAAAACAGGAATCATTTTCTGGATATGTAAGTGTAAATGTAGATGCAATTTTGGCTGCAGTTCTTTATCATTTATTATGCCCTTAGTGGCCTATAAGTCTGCACTTTAGGTTTTGTTTTGTTTTTTTCTTCATTATTTTCTTTATGAGTACTTATGAACAGAAAAATAATCCAAATATTTTTCTGCTTAGTGTCTTTATTTATAAAGACTATGAATAGTTGTATGCATCTTTCCTGCTTATAAAAATGAGTAAAAGTATAAAATTTTAAATGTATAATATTGGATGTTCTTTGCTTTTGTAATGTTTCCAGAAAGGATAAATGATGTCTTGTTTTGTTTTTTTAAATGTTTTAGTTGGAACCACTTTGCTTTCTTTTTCCTTGCTAGTTAGAAAATAGATATGAACTTTTGTTTAAATGTATTTTTGCAAGGATCAAATTGTTACACCTATACACACAAGTTTAAATCCTACATTGTGGGACTGAAGTGCTCTTAAGATACCTTTTCTATTTTTGCTGTGTAATATGCAAAGCAAAAGGGAAATTATTTAATGCATAGTGGCTCAAATTGTGTTCTAATTTCATGTCATTGGTTTTAGCCTCCTTAGGTCTTCCATCAAAGGGCTGTCCTATTACAGTCTTACTGAAAATTTTATTAAAATAAACTTATTTTCTTTTTGTATTCATTATTAGGCTTTGAAATAAAGATGTTATTCCTTAAAAAAAAAAAAAAGAAAGAAACCACAAACCAACTACCATAAGTACAAACTGACAATATCCCTAAACTATTACTGAATCAAGTCTAGCAACACATAAAACAATTATCAGGACCAAGAGGGATTCAGCACAGGAATGCAAGATTGCTTAACACCAAACATCAGCTCATGGGACTTGCCTGGGAGTCCAGGGGTTGTGCATCCGCCTTCTAATGCAGGGGACGTGTGTTTGATCCCTGATTGGGGAACTAAGATCCCATGTGCCGCAGCTAATCCAGACCACCACAACTCCTGAGCCTGAGCCAAAACACAGCCCGAGGCAGCCAAAAATAAATAATAAATAAATAATTTAAAAAATAAATTCACAGAATATATCACAGTAATAAAAGACAAAAACCATGGTACCATCTCAACAAATGCAGGAAAAGCAATTGACAAAATCCGACACTTCTCCATCATAAAAACTCTAAACAAAATATATGGTAACTTCCTTGGCTAAATAAAGAGCTCATCTACCCAAATGCACAGTCAACATCATATTTGATGGTGAAGATTAAATCCTTCCCCGAAGATCAGAAACAAGTCAAGGATGTGTGTTCTTGTTCTCGCCATGTCTATTCAACGCTGTCCTGGGTTTTCCAGTCAATGCAGTGTTGGAACAAACAAACATACAAACTGCACCGAATCCAGATTAGAAACTGCACGTAAAACTGTCTACATGCAGTAAACAATGAGACCGTGTATCAAAACTCAAAAGAAATCCACTAAATGCTCTAAGAACTAATAAATGAGTTTAGCAAGTTCACAGAATACAAATAAATATGTACAAATTATATTTCAAAACACTAGCAACAAACAATCTAACATGAAATTAATAAAACAATCCAGGACAAAATAATGTAAAAAGATAATAAAAAGCAAATTTAACAAAAGAATTTCGGGATTTGTGAATTGAGATTGCAAGACATCACAGAAAATAAATAGAAAGACGTTCCGTGTCATGTGTCCAGAAACTCAGTATTGACAAGATGACAATTCTTGCTTGATTGACAAATTCAGCTCAGTCCATATCAATCTCCCAGTAGGCTGTTCATAAAGGTGACAAATTGATTCTAAAATTTATGTGGATATTCAAAGGACCTAGTTTCAAAGACTGTTTTGAAAAATGCAGTTGGAATTCCAGCACCATCTGATTTCAAACTTGACATAAAGTCAGTCAGTCGTCGGCATGAGGCTGAGCACACCGATTGAAGGACTAAAGCTAAAAGCCCAGAAGTGAGTGTTCACACTCACTGTTAATTCATTGTCACCAACGGTGCTAAGACAACTCAATGGGGGAAGGACGGCTGTTTCAGCAAATGGTGCTGGGACAAGTCAGCATCTACATGCACTTCTCTGGGGGGAGAAGGAAAGGAAGAAAAACCTTACACCCTTACCTTGAACCATACACAAAAGCTAACTCGAAATGGACTACACACCTAAATGTAAGAGTTAGAACTCCAAACCACGAGAGAAAAAGTACAGAAAATCACCATGACCTGGGGTTAGGCTAGAGCTCTTAGGCTAAGTCTTAGACAGCACTCGAGAAACAAGATCCATTAAAAGAAAAAAATTGATAAGATGGATTTTATCAAAATTAAAACTCTAGCCCTTGAAAATATACCATTAGGACAATGGAAAGACAAGTTACAGACTGGGAGAAAATATATGTAAATCGCATAGCTGATAAACAGCTCATATCCAGAATATACAAAGAACCCTTAACATTCAATTAGACAAGCAAGAAATGGGCAAAAGGTTTAACAGACTCTTCTCCAAGAAGATATATGAATGCAGCACTAATAACCATGTGAAAAGACACTTGTTTAGTCGCTCAGTCATTTCCAACTCTTTGTGACCCCATGGACTGTAGCCCACCAGGCTCCTCTGTCCATGGGATTCTCCAAGTAAGAAGACTGGAGTGGGTTGCCATTTCCTTCTTCAGGGGATCTTCCTGACCAGGGATTGAACTCACTTCTGCTTGGCAGACAGATTCTTTACTGCTGAGCCACCAGACAAAGCTAGCAACACTGGGTGTTAGAAAATGAAATGAAACCCACAATAAGGTATTAGTTCACAATCATCGGAGCTGCTATAATAAAATGACAACATCAAGTACTGACCCTCACACATTGCTGGTGGGAACATGAAAAGGTACAGCCACTTTGGAAAACAGTCTGATAGTTTCTTCAAAAGTAAAACAACTTTACCATGGGACCCAGCAATTCCATTGTTTTCACCCAAGAAAAATGCAATAAGGTTTGCAAGAAGCAAGTGGTCATAGCTGCAATATTCCTAACACCGCCAAACTGGAGCCAGCCCAAATGTCCACAAACTGGCGAGTGGAGAAGATGCGGTCTGCAGCTGTAAACTATCATCCAACAACAAAAAGGAACCGACTCCTGAGCCTCAGACGCCCCTGCTCAGTGAAGGGGGCCAGACACAAAATGGGTATATTACATGAGTGCCTCTGTCTGAAACGCCCAGAAAAGGCAGCTATGCAGGGGCAGAAAGCTGCTGGGGTTGGTGGGGTGGGGAGCGGGGGTGGCCCACACAGGAACAGAGCGGCCCCAGAGGCAGCCGGGGCTCCACGAGCTGCTAAACTGACTGACGAGCGCCCCGCTGGCCACTGAGCACGAGGGAGCTCCAGGGCCTGCAAGTTCCACCCGAGTAACGTGGTCGAAGCCGAAACAGAGGTCGGGCTGCAAGTGCAGGTCCGGGATGGGGCAGCGCTCCAGCACCTCCACCCACCCCCTCCAGCGGGGAGCGCCATCCGGCTGGAGTCCCGGTCAGAGGACAGGCTAAAAATAACCTGCTGTACACTTGTGGCACAAAATACCTAGGACACAAAACGGAAGGGACAAAACAAGGTCCAGAGCTCTTGGGGAACCAACCTCAGGCGAGACCAGGTCCTGGAAGTGACCGCCAGGGGGCGCCACCCACCGCCCGCCCGCCCCACAGACACGGGGGGAGCGCCGAGGGCCGTGCAGCGCGTCCTCAGAAGAGCAGGGCTTCTTGGGCTGTGACACAGAGTCACAGACTGTGCACGGGTGTGAAGACAGACGGATACTCAGCCGTGGGGCCTGGGTTTTCTAAATGATCACTGTTTCTTAGTTTGGGGATCAATGTTTGGTTAAGACAACGAGGCTGTGGTTTCAGCTCCAGACACCATCAGGAATGTCTGCTTAACCTCTGGAGCCCCGGCGGTCTCAGAAAGCAGCGAGTGCTGGGTCCAGTCCCTCAGGTAGGAGCTCACACCACGTTCATGGAACAGGGAAAAGGCCTCACAGATAAAGAGGCGTTTCCTCACCTGAGAGCCCTGGGCCCAGGAACGAGGCAGGAGCACGAGGACCAGAGCCACACGGGGGTTCCCGGCCGGCCAGACCCTGCCGTCTCTGCAAACAGGCAGGGGCGGCTGCGACCACGTGACAGGAGACCCGCCACGCTGCAGCACGGATCCTAAGCACAGCGCCCTCCCCCAAACACCAGATACCCCGAGCTGCACCCCAGGAGCCGAAACAAGAGTCCTCAGACGCGGCCAGATTACCATGGACCCGGATTCTCAGAACCTAACACCCTATCAGAGCTACTGGAAGCAGACAACACAGTCTTAACGATCCTCTGGGTTCTCTAGGTCTGCGATGAAACAAGCCTGAATTCAAATCTGACACTGAGGAAAACGTGAAAGAAACTCATCTGAGGGGCCTGAGGCTGCCCCACCCACGGGCGGCGGCCGGCGGCCGGCAGGTGGCTGCGGACACCCACCCGCTGCTAGTGTCAGAGAGAGAGAGGCGCCCCGAGGGCTCAAGCCCAGGCTGCCGGCTGGGCCTGCTCCTCTGCGTCCATCTCCCCGCCAGGCCCGCCCCCTGAGGACCCAGGGCCGCGCACACAGGTGTGAAACAAGAACCAGCAGAGAAGGTCCTTGTTCCCGGCCGGCAACACCACCTGCGGCCCACACTTCACGGCTCACACTCATCAGCAAGGCTCCTTCTAGGCTAGAGGGAGCGCTGCAAACAAGGGCCCGTGAAGAACAGTGATTCTGAGGTCTCTCTGGGAACTCACTGGGAATTCGAGGACTAGCTCAGTCCAGGACAGTTTCAGAGCTACATTTATAGTGCCTCACAGGCCTCTCAAATGACACCTCTGCATGTTTTCTCTATTTTAACACCAGTGCCTAAGGCCCTATATTTATCCGGATTAAATGTCAGCTCCTTGGGTCTCAGGCTGTCAGGATCTGCCTGGATTCTAATTTTGTCCGAGAACTTCGCCACCCAGCTCTGGGGCGCCCTGCCTCAGCCAGCCCAGGTTGCCGGTATCTCCCCGGCCTGGAGGGTCCGGCGGGCCTCCGGCAGGAGAGGTGGCTCAAGGAAATGCAGGACAGGCTGAGAGCAGTGGGGGACACGCTTCCAGATGGGGTGACAGGGGTCAGCAACTACCGTCCCGGGGAGGTTAGTTATTAGCGACTCTGTCAGGTACATGCTGGGATCTGTGTGGCACTTTAAAAGAAAGAGTGTCAAACTGTGTTAAGTTACAAAAGCAAAGGTCAGGAGAGTATTTTTACTACGACACTTTAAATCAGTTTTTGAAAAATATAAAGCTTACCTCAGGCTTTCCTGGTGGCTCAATCAGTAAAGAATCCGCCTGCAATGCAAGAGGTTCAGTGGTTCTATCCCTGAGTCGGGAAGATCCCCTGGAGTGGAAACGGCAGCCAGTATCTTTGCCTGGGAAACCCCATGGACAGAGGCGCCCGGTGGGCTGCTGTCCACGGGGTCCCACGAGTAGGGTATGGCAATGACTAAACCACCACCGCTGCCACGATGCTAACCTCAATAGTTTCTCGCGGGGAGAGACCCCGTGGTCGCACAGCGTAGTTTTCATTCACACCTCCTATCTAGGGCGATTCTTCCAGGCACACGAGCTCCTTTATTTAAAGCTCCTTCCAGACACTTCTGCCCCGGCGACAGGACGCCAAGGAGCCTGGGGAACTTGGCTAGGATTACGTAGGATATGATACCTGCATCGACCCAATTAACTCAGAGGAGAAGGACGCCGCTGCAGTTCTGAACATGGACGTGTGCACTGTGGGGATGCCTGGTTTCTCCAAAGAGGCCTGACTCAAATCCATTTGCTCCTCGGTCACACCCGCCACACACACACTTTGTCAACAGTAAGTGACCGGCCTGGGATCCACCTCCAGCATAAGGACCATTTGTCTGCCACCAGGTGAAATTCAACAGGTCACAGGAGACCTCACAAAAAGCTTCAGAGACATGTGGAATGGCAATCCTAGGACCCGGTGAGCCTGCTGCTGTGTGCCTTAGAGTCTGCAAAGTAAGCCGGCAAGGTAAACCACGCGTGTCCTGGGTGTGCGCACCAGGCCCCAGGGGCCCAGTGGACTGAGCACCCAGCAGACCCTGCAGCCGCCCGAAGTTTCGAGTGCTGGAGGCCTTCAGTTTGAGCTCAGTGCCCACTTGGGAGTTCCGCCTTCTCACGTCACGTGAAAAAGGCTTTGAACATGAACTGCTCTCTTTAACTGCAGATTAGGACAAACCTCTAGCAGAGAGGTTCACAGCTTTGTCTGGAAACCAACACCGCTGAGCACAGACTCTGATCCCCACCAGAGGTGGCCCCTCGTGGTGCTGATGAGTCCCAACGATCTGAGCGGCGCTGACCAGGCCCAGAGAGGTGAGAGCTCGCCACCGCCTGACGCCAAAGTGGAGGGGACGCCTCATTGCCGCCCAGGAGACGTGGCTTGCATGGCCTCTGTTCGCTGCGCCCGAGAAAGCAGCGGTTCCCGCAAGTGGGTTTCTGTTTCCCCACTGGCCTCTATGACAAAGTATTGCTTTTCCTCTGAGGAACTTTAAAAACAGAAAAAAAAAATCAATATTCTAACAATCAGATCATTTGTAAAGCGTCTGGAATTATTTTTTATACGTGGCAAAGAAACCAAGATCTAGAGGAAAACCAATTTAAACAAATAGAACTGGGATTTCACGTCTTCCGCGTCGGAATACTGGGCATCTGAAGGACGCACGTCCCCTCTCTAGCAGGGTTCCGGTCCGCGGAGGGTCAGGCGGCCACAGAAGGAGTGGGAAGGTGGTGGGTGGCGAGCGCCGAGCGGACTCCGCACCCGGCCGGCACACCGTCCTCCCGGCCACCGTGAGAGCACCTTCCATCCTTCCCCGATCCCAGGGCCTGCTCCGCCCCAGGCCGCAGGATCCCGGGCTCGCGGTGACCACGGCACGGGAGGGGGCGTCCTCAGGGAAGCCCCCAGGCCACGGGCGCGGAGGGGACCTTCATCTCAAGGTCGTCGCCAGGGCAGAAACCGAAGGCTAAGCGGCCCGGGGCGGGGAAGGCCGGGCAGCGGCGCGTGCCGCGGCCCCGGGGCCAGAGTGGGGCCTGCGGAGCCCGGGGAGGGCACGGGGCCGCCCGCCCAGGGACTGGAAGCGGACGCGGGACTCTGGGAAGGCGTCTCCGCCGGGGGCTGGGCGGAGGACGAGCGCCGAACTGGCCCCCGGAGGCGCGCGAAGCACGGGGCCGGACACGCGCGCGCCGGGAGGCTCGTGCGGGCGACCTTCGCCCTCCGCTTGCGTCCAGGTCTGAACCCCGGGGGGTGCCGCGCCCGCAGCCCCCGCGCCCCTCCCGCGCCGGGCGGGGTCTGCAGCGCCCACAGCCTCCTGGGGGCCTGAGCGCACGCCCGGGAACCGCGGAGCCCGGGCCTCACCTGGAAGTGCCCGGAAGCCCGCGGGCGCGCATGCGCGCTGACCGTCGAGCGCGCCCGGGAAGACTCTGCCCGCGCTCCCGGAGCCGGGCGGTGCCGGGCTGGCCCGCGGAAAGCAGCCCTGCGCGTGGCTGTGGGTCCTCCCCGCCCGCGCCAGCAGAAGCGAGTCTGCGCGGCCCCTCTGGTATCCAGGGCGGGTGAAGGGGTGCCGGCAGCCCCGGCAGGTGCCAGGGTGTCTGCGCGCGGGCTCTCTAGTGACGGGGTTCCAGGTGGAGACTGCGCCCCAGGCTCGAGCTCCCCCGTGCAGAGATGGGGGTTAAGGGGGAAGTCTGGGCCGGGGAGTTCGGTGACGCCCTTAAATTCAGGCACGGATGGCCCAAAAACATTGCAAACGAAGCCTGGGGAGTCCGTGTGACAGGCCCTGTGCCAGGCGCTCCCTTCCTGGCTCTAGGATGTCTGGATGTTTCCGAGTCAGGACGTGGGTGCGGAGCCGAGGGGGCGGCAAAGCTGCCGAGGGGCCGGTGGGTCCTGAGGCACCGTTTGCAGGTGTTTTGCGTGGCAGGTGGTTCCCCAGTGATTTTCAGAAATGAATGGGACCCCGTGAATAACATAGTCATGATGCAATTATTTGCACAGCACCTTCACATTCTAGCAGCTCAAAGCATGTTAAAAAAGAAATCAGGCTGTTTACTTTCAAATTAAATCTCTTTCCAGGAGCCGCCGCGTTTCCAGGAGCCGCGGCGATCTGCGCAGACCGCGGATTGGACAACAGCAGCGTCCTCTTCCGACTATGTGGACTCTTGCTGTGGATTGTACTGCATTTCCCAAAGCTGTTTTGGCAGTAATGCCTGTGACCCCAAGTACCCTTCACCCCAAATGTTACAAAAACCCTTCAGTATTTGTACTATGTCCTCCCCTAAATCAGTTCAGTTCAGGCGCTCAGTCGTTTCTGACTCTTTGCGACCCCATGGACCGCAGCACACCAGGCCTCCCACCAACTCTTGTAGTTTACTCAAACTCATGTCCATTGAGTCGGTGATGCCATCCAACCATCCCATCCTCTTGTCATCCCCTTCTCCTCCTTCCTTCAGTCTTTCCCAGCATCAAGGTCTTTTCAAATGAGCCAGCTCTCCGCATCAGGTGGCCAAAGTACTGGAGTTTCAGCTTCAACATCAGTCCCTCCAATGAACACCCAGGACTGATCTCCTTTAGGATGGACTGTTGGGTCTCCTTGCAGTCCAAGGGACTCTCAAGAGTCTTCACCAACACCACAGTTCAAAAGCATCAATTCTTTGGTGCTCAGCTTTCTTTATAGTCCAACTCTCACATCCATTCACAACCACTGGAAAAACCATAGCGTTGAGTAGACAGACCTTTGTTGGCAAAGTAATGTCTCTGCTTTTTAATATGCTGTCTAGGTTGGTCATAACTTTCCTTCCAAGGAATAAGCGTCTTTTAATTTCATGGCTGCAGTCACCATCTGCAGTGAGTTTGGAGCTCAGAAAAATAAAGTCAGCCACTATTTCCCCATCTATTTCCCATGAAGTGATGGGACCGGATGCTATGATTTTAGTCTTCTAAATGTTGAGCTTTAAGCCAACTTTTTCACTCTTCTCTTTCACTTTCATCAAGAGACTCTAGTTCTTCTTTGCTTTCTGCCATAAGGGTGGTGTCATCTGCATATCTGAGGTTATTAATGTTTCTTCCAACAATCTTGATTCTAGCCTGTGCTTCATCCAGCCCAGCGTTTCTCATGATGTACTCTGCATATAAGTTAAATAAGCAGGGTGACAATATACAGCCTTGACACACTCCTTTTCCTATTTGAA